ACATTTTGTTTATTATTTCCCCATTTAATTGAGTGTCATATGCCATACTTTTCTATCTTTCTCTTACAATGGATATTACTATATAAAAAATATTGTGTGCATGTAAAATAAGCTAGATCCTGAAAATGTCCTGAAGCATGATTGATCACAAGTATTCAGGAAATGTTTATGCACAATGGATATAAAAATTACCCTTGTGTGTCATTTTTTGCTGAAATGTGTCTGTATGTAGATTTTTTTTTTTGTGTGTGTGTGTATGAGAGAGAGAGAGAGAGTGAGAAAAAAAAGCGGAGTGACACTGAGGTCCATACCGAGGGGTGACAATCTGTTTCATGCAATCTTCAGGTTATATGGCCTGAAGATTGCATGAGAGAGGCTGTCTAACTCCATGTTGAACCCAGTGTCCACTCTTATATTTTACACATGTTCTATCCCTGATATTGAGCATTTTTACCCATAAATATAGCATACATTATAAGTGTACTTAGGCAGCAAGAATTCTTTTGAATACTAACATGATCTGCTTGTCTAATGTTTTAAGTATTTCCAACTTCCAAGTAAGTTGTTTTAAACAACTGTTGAACTTACCAAAGTTTCATTTTTGATTTAGATTTAAAAAAAAAAAAAAAATTTAGAAAATTCACTGATTGTACATAACTTAATTGGAAAAACTTAAAAAAAAAACAAACAAACTGGACAGGTAGACCTTGTTAGTTCAAGTGTGTAATATTTCCAATTCCATCATCCATTTTCACTTTTATTTATATATATAATCTCATTGTTTTTTAGATTTGCAGTATTTTCATTCTATTAAATAAAGACCATTAAATCAGTTATAAATGTGCTCCAAATTGTGAAGGTTGTTTCTATTTCTAAAACTGAATATGAACAAACATCAAAATACTCCTTGCTTTCCAATGAAATATCAGTTATCTGCAAGTAGGTTTTGGAGATTTCAGTCTTTAAAATGTGAAGGTGTGTGTGTGTGCGCACACACCTATGTATACTGTTTTGTACAAAAACTCAAATTCATATTTTGAATGGCTAGAGAAAAGAAAGCCACACTTTCTTTAGCTTGGACACCCACAGACATGCATCAATAGCAACCACAATAGGCAGATTTTGTTTTTAACAAATGCAATATGGAAAAAAAGCAATGCATGGAAAATCTTGCAAGTGACTTGTCACAGGTTTCATCCATTTTTTTTTTTTGAAATTTTTTTATTTTCACAACTGAAAGACTTAGAAACAGAGATTTGCAAAAATTTCCCTTTTTTTTGTAAAGAAAAAAAAAACAAAAAAAAAAAACAACTTGATACAGTGTTTAAGTTGGAGTGCTTGGGTGAATACTACTGTCATCTGCTTCTGTGTGTGTTTTACATCAGAGCTTGTGTTGTGTGCAATCATTAGGATTACTGGTGATGCAAGCACATCAGTAAGGCTGACATACCCAGAAACAGACTTGTATAAATGCAGCCAAGCCCACACTTCAAATATAGTTTTAAAATTTATTGGAAAAAAAAAAAATAAATAAAAAAAAGTCTGTTTTGAAAGAGAGAAAAAAGAAGAAAAATCATTTGAGAGAGAGAGTGAAAAAGAAAAAATATTTCGAGAAAAGAAAAATTTTTTAGAGAGTAAAAAAGTGAGAAAGAGAATGAAAAATTTGAGAGAAAGAAAAAAAAGAAAAATAAAGTTTTGAGAGAGAAAAATAATAAAAAAAATGATTTTTTTTGGGAGAGAGCACAATAAGTTCAAAAAGGACATTTTTGATTGTACCAAATTAGTTGCTTTGTTAATCATTGATTTAAAAGCAAACTCTTGTAGGTGATGTTCTGAGATGTGGTGTGTTATATAAGAGGACCATGTCTTTTTAGACGGCATAACACCCACTGTCTTAGACACAATGAAAGTAAAGTGAAAGAATAAACATGTTCACTGTATATAAATGTTGTGGTGAGCAAAAAAAAGGAAAAAAGAAAAGTAAAAAAAAAAAAAAAAGAAGAAATAGCACCAGACGCTTGTGCTTCCATTCTTCATTGCAGAAGGGGAAGTAACTCAGTTTTTCTTTTTACATTTGTATCAGCAAAAGAAAAGCAGCCGACAACGTTACCAATACCAAAAAGACGGTATTTGAACAAGCAGTAAAATTAAATGTTGGAATTTTTTTTATTCAGCAAAATATACTGAGATCTAAAAAAAAAAAAAAAAAAAAAAAAAACTATTTATTTTAAAAACAATTTTTTTTTAAAATCAATGATTTTATTAAGAAATTTTCATAAATAAGTTCCAATTTTCAAAATAATTTTTTTTTTTATCATTCATGTTTTTCTTTTAGTTTAATGGAATCCCTGAAGCACAAGTGTAACAGACATTTTTTTATAGGCTTCGATTTTCATTTCTTGATAATCAATATGCATGAAGAATTATTTAAAAATTAATTTAAAAGGAAAGATAATACAAATGGAAAAAAAAGAGAGAGAAAAAAAAAAAAAGAAATCCAGTCTTTCATATAACGTTTAAAAAAGCCATAAATATCAAATACTATTAAAATAACAAGGACTGGATTCAATTTTTGGTAGAAAAAGAAAAAGAACTATCCAAAAAATAAAAACAACTTATATATACATATGCGTTATTTTATATTTTAATTATGGATTGTTTTGAATCAAGGTAGAAATTCTTTTACTCTCATTTTCTGTAATATAACAACAATAATCTTCTGACTACCATGCAGAGATTTATTTGAAATGGCATCTTCCTTTTGGATGTGTATAGTCAATGTTTTGGTTGACAATAAGAAACAAGGAGGAGAAACTTCATAAATTTAACATTTTGCTATTTATTTAACTTTAGAAATTTTTGAAAGTGGAACAATTCAAAGTTATGTTTCAATTTTTAAATTCTATTTTTTCCATCAGCTGTGTAGACGTGTTTATTTCATGGCATTACTATGGATGGATGTATAAAGTTTTAAGTTGTTCTGCTTTCATTGTTTGTGTGGCCATCACATGGATGCCTCATAATGTCTGTGTATGTTTAATTCTTGAAATGTTAGCTAAATTTAAAAATGAGGTTTTTTTAATTGCCTGACAAATATAGCGAATACAGGAAGTGAATGTGTAATACTAGGTGACATCATCTGCAAATGTCTGGATCTTATATTCTTTAAGTCTAGGTTTTATGAATATTGGTGATATAAAGAAGTGTATCTGGTGGGTTTTTATTGGATGCTGATTATTTATTAATATTCCTTCGAGGTATTTTCTCCCTAATAGATTCTGTTTTTTTTTTTGTTTTTTTTACTAAGGTAGCATTTTTTAAATCAAGTGTGTGTGTATATATATTATATATATATATTAATCTTTTATACATGTTTAATGGACAAGGAAAATAAATTTTTTTATTCAGTTTTTCTAGTGTTATTATTCAGCTTTTCCTTTATGAGGATTAAGAGTGTGTAGTGATTATTGGCCCAAGCACTTCTAATTCATTAGCCATTATCAAGAGGTTCATTGTTGGCATATTTTTGTTACATATAGGAGTAGTAGTAGTAGTAGTTCCATGTATCAATTTTTAAATTCTATATTTGTGATATCCTCTGCAAATATTTTGGATCTTACATTCTGTAAATAAAGAATATGAAGTGTGTTTGGTGGGTTTTTATTGGATGTTTGTTGATTATTAGTATTCCTTTAAGGTTTCATTTTGTTTTTAAAATCAAAATTATCCGTTTTATTTGTATGTGATACTAAATACTTTAATGGGTTATCCCAACGGACGTCTCTTCTGTGTTTGTAAATGCGTGGTTGTGGCTATTTAAACCAAGATGAGGACAACAATTTGAATAAATCACTGGGTTTATAATGATAATTCCTCATTTCAGAAATTCAGACAAAAAACATCATGACCAACTTGATATTCATTTTTAATGCAGTGGACGCAATATAAAAACTAATATCATTTTCTTTTCCCATTCTTTTAAATTAAAGTTAAATCAGTATTATCTATTTTGAATCATATTTAAGATAAAAATCAAGATGAAAGTAAATAGCAGTCAAAAATGAATAATATGGGTTGACAGTGCTTCATCAAATAAAAATATAGTACTGCTACTAAAAAAAGTCAAATCACTATGAAAGAATCAGTTTCTGATACTTACTGATGTTACATGATAAAAAATACCCCCCCCCCCCCAAATCAAAGTTTCTAATTCCTTGTTTGCAGTTCAAGTTTCTACAATTTCCCAATACCTGAAAGTGACACATGAAACGGAAGACAAGTCACTCAAGCGGAAAACAGGATTTGATGCCACATCACTTAAGAATAAAAAAATTGTAGCAGTCAAAATACAATAAAACTATAACGAGAGAGTTTGAATGAACAACTGTCACTATTAATCCACTTACAGTAAATGTTTGAGGAATGAATAATTGAGTTATACACAGAATAGTGGGCTTAGAAAAGAACAATAAAAAACAAGAATGAGAATATAAGGATAACAGATTAATTTTAAAAATAGGAATAAAGGAATAATAGAATCATTTGACATAATGAACAATCGACTCAGGTGAACACATCACATGATACCCAACCTATGACCTCTTTATCATACATGTTGATTTGTGAAAGAAAACTTAACGAAATTTAATTTTGGAGTCTTCTGAATTTTTTTTTTACCCCCCAAATTGAGGTCAAGATTTTGCTTGTGTGTGTCCAACAATTCAGTTACAATGAAGCAACATACATTTGAATGAACATGCTTATTCTTTTTTTTTTGTTGGATAATCAACAATTTTTTTTCTCCCTACATTTGTGTTTTTTGTTTTTAAATTAGAAAAAAAAAATTAAATTTTTTTAAAAAATAAATTAAAAAAAAAAAAAAAAAAGTTCAAGTAGGAATTTGTTTTTAACCCTTCTCAGATCAAATTCTTATTTGAGGGAGATTTTATTTTATTGGTTTGAAGGTTTTGGGAAGGGATATCAAAAGGGGGGGGGGTGATTTAATAAACAGTTTCTGGCTCGTATAGTTCAATATCTCGATCGTCATCATCCCTCAAAAGATCATCTTCGTCTCTCAAAAGGGAATCTTCTTCTTGGAGAAGATCGTCATCGTCATCATCGTACAATCTCCTGTTAGTCATCCCGGAACAGTTAATCTTGTTCTTTTCAAAATCATCCAACCGATTGCATTCAATTTCAGTATCATCACGTGGATACTCTTCAATGTTGCATTCTTTTAAGGGATCTTCACTCACTGTGTCATCATCGTTCTTAATCCGGTCAGAGGCATCTTCATCATCACTCAGATCAGCTGTTAGCTCTTCTTCTACAAGGGGAGCACTCTTGGAGCTGGGGGAACTCAGTGAAGAGAAGCCTTTATCGGATTCTGTGGGTGACACTTTATCACTGCTTAATATGACCCCAGAACTGATTGCAGTTTTCGTTTGCAGGGCACGGTCAGCAGCATCTAATAGGCTGAGCTCTTTGAACATTTTCTCAGCATTGCGAAGAGTATTTTTCAATTCTTTGTCCTTAGTCCGTTCACTGGCCAATTCGCCTCTCTACAAGCAAAGATAGATAAAAAAAAAAAAAAAAATAGTAAGTGGAAAAAAGAAAGCTAAAAAGCCATATTTCTCATCAAATGATGCACACTTAAAAACTTGCCAATTTATATGTAGAAACACAAATAGTAATATTCAACTGATAATATACTATTGTTTTTGTTTTTATATATATATATATATATATATATATATATATTGAAATTATTTTCCTTTTTAATTATAATTTAATCCTTTGTAGTCATATATATTTTATTCTGGGGGTCATCAGGGGAAGGGACTTGTGTCAAACAGGTGTACTATGGTGTTAATGTTATATTCAATCATCTGGTTTCCAATAACACATAAATGCCTGTTTGACACTCTAGTCTCATGATGACCCCAGAATGAAATATATATATATATATATATATATATATATATATATATATATATATATATATATGTACTTTAAAAATTAAGAGGTCAGATAGAAAATGCAACCATGGTTTCAACCTCATGGCCACATCAGGCTAATTTTATCAATGGTAGAACGCATGGGGGCCAAACCTGTCACAGCTTCACGGATACTTTCTTTATCCTTAAGAATTGTAGACATAGTTGAATGGGATAAGTTCATCTCACTTTGTTTCCTCCTTTATACCTTTTAATAACTGTCCTTTTGGTGTCCAGATCAATTGACTTTGTTTCCTTCTTGGCAGGGTTAGGAGTAAACAGAGATAATATCATCTTGGAAGACATTGTGGGGTGTTTTGAAAGAAATTTTAGAAGACATGGCTATAACTCGACTGTACTGTAATGAATTACTACTCTATGTGGGTGGCTGTGCAGAAACAGTCGTATATATGCAACACACTCAATGCACTCACCTACTTTCACTTTTTGGACATAGGAGTTTTAACCACACATTGTTGTAAGTTGCATATGTCACTAGTCGATGACTGTGTGTGTGTGTGTGTGTGTGTGTGTGTGTGTGTGTATATATATATATATATATATATATATATATATATATATATATATATATATATATATATATATATATATTGGTCTAACCCAGTGATTGAGAAATTTTATATTTTAACATTAAATTATGATTTGTAGTTATAATCATATATATTTAATTCTAGGATCATTATGGGGCTAGAATGTCAAATGGGCATTTAGGTGTTAACCCAATGATTGGGTATAAAATGCAGAGTGGTTTTTGGAGAAGAATTATTATTATTTTTTTTTTTTTTTCAAAAAGTAAGACTTATATAATGGGAAATAGAGAAATACAAAAAATGTGAGTGAACACCAAATCTATATTAAATGGGCAAATAAAAACTGTTTTTGATTCTATTAATATTTTAATATATATTTGTTGAGAATAATCATTGAAAAATGAACAAATCAAATACAGATTATCTAAAAAGTAACCCCCAAATCAGGTTAACTTCACCCGCTTATAAATTAACTTTCTTGTGAACCAATAATTAATTACAGTTGATTTGCAGTTAATAAATGTGATATTTTTGTGTGACATCATATTGCCAAAATATTTTGTTAGCTGCTTTTTTCATTGCCTTCATTCTTGTCTTGAAAGAGACCTGAATAAAGCACAATACTCTGAAGATAATTCCTCAGCTATTTTAGCAACAAAGACATTTTTTTGTAAGATCTCACCAGAGGAACAAAAACAGTTTTTGTCAGCCATTCAAACTGATAAAATGAATCAGATTAGACCAAAAATAGAGTATTGGGCTGGAGTTACCAAATCCTCACTTTCCAGCCATGACAGAGTTTAAAATTATTTATGCAGATCTTTTCAGGGATGACATATTTTCCACCTTACAACCTCTTTCCCACAGTTGTAACATCACAAGCACCCTGCATTATCCACAGTGGCTTCACAAGTGTAGTTCTTGATTTCAATCAATATACTTTTCTACTTTTTGCTGTTGCCATAGCAGGATATGACAACACAACTGTAAAGTTCAAACACTATCTTGACAGTCAGAGTAATAAACTCCAAAGTGCCAAAGCTGCTGAGGAGATATTTGACTAGAAATTTATGCCCAGAATGACCAACAAAATATCTCAGGGGTGATTTCTTTATCCTGAATCTTATTGCTTTTTGGATATCAATTCAAGACAATTTACAAATATCAAGGAAAGCAGCAAAATCAATAAATGTACTGGAGTAGATATTTTACCAATATGATACCATGCAAAAATATCCCAGTTACAAATGTTTCAAAGCAATATAGTAAATAAAATAATTATACCAATATAATGATTAAAACAATAAAAAGAATTAAAATGTTCTTAAGTCATCAGAATTGAGTGTGAATTAAAATATTAAAGAGTATAATGAAATATTAATAATTATTAGAGAATAACAATAATTTTATAATCAAAGTCTTGTTAGGCTGTCGTTTAGTTATAAAAAATAAATGATGTCAATGACTTTCCCTTATTCAAACGCACTTACCTCCCCTTTGATGGTGGGGTCTGCTCCTGCTTCAAGCAGCAAATACACCAACTCCTGATGGTCCCGGTCTGTGGCCCAATGGAGGGCTGTCCATCCATTCTGAAAATTGCAAAACCAACCAAGGGCTATGAGGACATTTATTATTTATTAATGGTTTATTTTTACATAGATGGAAAATAGACAAAACTTACAGAAACAAAAAAAATAACGGTAAAATTAATATTTTAAAAAATGTTATTTCATTCAAGAAACAGATTTCTTTTGGAAACCGTTTATAATTATATTTATAAATAATGTTTGGAAAATAAAATGTTTTAAAAAATCAAATAAAATAAAAACAATAGTAGGAAGATTGAAAGGACAAAATAATCAAGAGTGATATAGAATAGAGTTATTTCCCTTCCATCTGGCGCTCTCTAGACTAGAACACTTGGAATCTGCTGTTATCATTCTGTATATCTGCCACTAGAGTTCTTTAATTTGGTTTTAAACTGCGATTTCAACTGTAATTTATGGGTCCATAAATAGACTTGTTAAACCAAATGCAAGGACTTAAAAACTGTACAGAATTAAAAATATTAAATCGCAAAGTATTAAATATTAATATAACAGATATTTAAAATATTTTTTTTTAATGATTATTAATTTAAATCAATATAAATCAGTAAAAATAAGGGTTTAAAATTTTCAAGTTAAAAAAAAAAAAAACTGATGTTTTTCTTTTTTTAAAAAAGAAAGTTGAATGTGTTTACAATTTCTGTTTTGTAGCATTTTGTGTGGTCCAGCAATAGCCAAGTCCAAAGATGGATATTTTAGAGAGATACAACCTCTGACCCAATTCAATCTCTGAGAATTCCTATTTTGAAATTTTAGTACATTTCTATAGTAAAATTATTTGCAATGCTTTTCTAGAGTAGAACCATTAGCATAATTTACATAATACATGCAACAGCTTTATTTTATCAATGATATTTGTCATAAAGTCTGATCATCCTTTTTTTCCTCATTTTCAATGCATGACGGACATTAAAAAAAAAAAAAAAAAAAAAAAAAATCGAATATTTCCATCTTAATTGTTACCAGAAAAAGTTTGTGCAAAACATGACCAAAACTAAGCAGAAGAGAAATGGAGTAACAGTAAAGTCAGTGGGATATAGTAATAAATCTTACCTCCTAATAATAATGGGCCTAAATAAAGTTGATGTTAAACTAGTACCCTCCCATGATATCTCAACACCAGAATTTGCTGTGTCATTATATATCTAATCATTTAAGTGAATGAAAGTTTAACAAAATTTAATTTAAAAAAAGGTTTAATAAATTCTACTTGTAACCAGTTAAGGCATAATAGTTGCAGTGTTTAAGCTGGCAACAATATACGTGTTAAGCATGAATAGAGAATGTAATTTGATTTAAAATCTAAGATATGGGATTGCTAATCGATTTCAGTACTTTTAGTTAATTGTTAAGAGAGTTATCTCCCTTACAATGATTTACAAAATTTAAGATTTACAAAACTCTTTCTAAAAATGTAACCAGAGCAATTAACTTTAAACCAATGAAATTTCAGATGGTTCTTTTTAATAAATATCTGTATTACCTAACCTAAAAACTATTTCAGGTGAGATAAATTAATTATACTAACTGTAAACTGTAATGATGATGATGTTAGCAGAAGTAGATGTAATATGTATTATTTATAAAAAGAAAAAAAAGAAAAGGACATATTACAAATAGTATAAATGAGAAAAATTAGAGATGACAAGAAAGTAAAAAAGAAAATATACTGTCTATGATTTTAAATCATAATTTTTTTGCCAACTTAAATCATTCTTTGTATCGTTCCTTTTGTTATATTTCATCCACTTCTTTTTACAGGCTTCTTCATAAGAAAAGAGAGAGATATCTTTTTCTAGTAAATGGTGGAAAGCAGAGAAAAGAACTAGTGGCATATTTACTGACTAGCTTGATTTATTTCTACTAATCCATTGCATTCCTAGCAACAAGGTGATTTTCATATTAATTCATACTCACCCCCCCCAAGCCTTTCTAGTGTTTAAGTCTGAAAAATGCAAAAAGGAATGAGTTGCTGTTTCTGGTACCAAACACTTAATTGCTTATTTTCTAAGAATCATTTCTGGCACATAGAAATTAACCCAGACTTATAACCTTTTCCCCCAGTATTTATTTTTGTCTTCTTCTGGAAAGGTTCTTTATTGCTTGCATAATATTCCTAGTTACAATAACGTATTCACAGGGCATAAGGCTATCTAAACTTGTATACGGTGTGGCAAAGATTGGCCCCTTGTATTTGCCCCCCCCCCCCCAATAATATGGGGTGGTACTTGTTAACTCCAAAAAATGTATTTTTGATGTCATTATTTAAAACAGCACTTCTATTCTAAATATGACACAACCTCAATAGCTATGGTTTTCCATTGCCTACTGTCAGTTCTTACTTGCCAATATAACCATGTTATAGACAGACTGCACCCCAAATCCTATGATATAGGAGAATTCATAACTAAGCCGGAAACAAGGGATTAATTCCCCCACCATTACCAAATAGCAAAAAAGGTGACCAGGTGGTATGTGTGTGTGTGTGTGGGGGGAGTGAAGCAAATTCCTATTTTGTTTTGTGGTAGTAACAAAAGTAACACAAACAATTAGTTTAAAAATCTAAACAATCCTTAGAATGAAGAAATAAATAAAATGCAAAGACAGGAAAGACAAATGAAAGAAATTGCAAATGAAATAATCATGACATGGCTGTGCAGAGGACACTTTAAATAATAAACATAATCACCAGTAACATTAACCCAAAATATAAATATTAGAACTTATTTATATTCAGGCAAAAATAGTAAGCGCATGTGCAGAGAGAGGGAGATGAAATAGTGATATTTAAGTAAATTCAGCAAATTAGCACTTAAAGAATACAAATGTAGATATGATTGGAGTGAAGTAATAAGCCACTCAGAATTGTGCAAACAACTTGGACCTGATTATATCAACAACTGATATGATCAAAATCCAGAGAATAGGAATGGGACAAAATTATTTGGAAACACTTGAAATTTCTATAAATAGTTTTCATGAACACAAATCCTTCAGGATGTAGGCGATTATGACTCTCCACAAATTCCTTTTCTTTATTATCTTTGAAGTGCCATGACTTATTGGGACAGATAATGGTACCATTTCTTGTTGTCTTCTCCATGGTTTGGAATGCAGTTTTCCTTCTCTTAGACTAATAGTCAATCAAGACAAGTAAGTCTAGTTTAACCTGCTATTTAACCCATAGTTGGAGAGAGAAAAGGAGGATGTGTGCCTTTCTCAAGGTATAAGTGCAAAAGTGAATGCAAGAGAATAGCCTGGAATTTGAATCTGTCTTGTTAATTCCACTTTTAACATTGATCTCTTATCCTACACACACACACCCACAGATATGGCTGTCAATTATGTTATTTTTTTAATAAAATTATTTTGCTTAAATGTAAGCTTACAAAGGGCTTGTAATTATGAAAGGTAATTGTCAGTGATTGTGCCAAGCAGGTAAATATACCATTTGATATTAGTACAAGACAGAGTTATTGAAAAATGGACCCTGATGTCTCTTGATATAAGCTGTGAGGTACAAGTGAGATTGAACTGATGTTAACATGCTTGTCTCACAAGCAATTCATAGTCAGCTGCAAATCCACACTGAAGTTGTTTTTGTCCAAGAAATAATTATTGGTCCATCAAATGGTTCTTTTTTTTTTCTTGAAGATACGAAAAGAAAAAAGTTTGGAATTTAGATGATGACTTTAAAAAACAAATAAAGGTTGGAAAATTGAAAGATAGTAAAAATCCTGAGCAGAATCAAACCAAGAGGCACCTGAATAGTTGAATAGTCAAAAATGTATTATTTAGTATTTTATTGACAATCTAGTTTGATTTGGCAATGTAACACTTTGGAAATTATACTTTATACTTCAGACTGTATAGTGAATGGATTTAGAAATATATTACTTACTGTTCCAACAGCATGAATATCACACTTGGCATCAAGCAGAGCTTTGGCAACATCTGGATGGCTGTGGTAGGCGGCAAACATGAGAGGAGTGAAATCAGCCTGAAGATAACAAATAACAAGACTTTAATACCATGAATAAATGGTTAAGCAATTCCTATTTCAACACCAGAGAATTAAGTCCTCTTAAATATATCTGTTTATATAAAAATAAAAAATACAATTTATTTTTCTGTAATTCTACGAAGATAGCCACAAAGACAAAACTGTTTTTGATTATAACTGATAACTAATTGAGAAAAACTGATGGCATGAAATATAAACTCAAAATTTTCTCCGCACATCAAAGAAGCGATTCCAAAATAAATTCTGGTGCTTGGTCACTTGGGTAGACTTTGGGAAGTGGATCAGGCCAGTAATTTTTCAGCACCCCCTTTTAAAGAATGTGTGTCCTCAACACTGGTTTTGCTTATGTCTCTATATTGCCTTGTCCCACATCTTGTGTCTTATGGTCATTTTTAATGAGATAGCACTAAAAAAAAAAACAAAAAACAAAAAAATTTAGATTAAATTCCTAAATGAAAGATGCATGTATTGTTGGAAAATCTTTCAATCATTAATTGATGATATCTACTGATTTCCAATGAAACGTCAACCAATGTGCCTGCTGTTAACGGTTAAATGTATTTCTGTACTGTATAATCACAAAACAACAACAAAAGTAGCACCTTTAAAAATAGCTCTGTTGCAGAAGCTGTTTTTATCGTGTTTAATAAAACCTTGGAATGGATGCACATGTGTCAGATGCAATATTGTAACAAGACGCACATATACATCTTCTGTTATAAATGGTAATGAACAGTGATTTTTTTCCAATAGGCTATACCTTGATGGATACACAGTTCAGAATTAGGCAAAGAAAAAACTTTAAATCTATAGCTTGTTAACACACAGTTTACTAAAAGAATTAATAAAATATGGCCAGAGAACATAGCTTGAAATAGAAATAAGAAAGATGAACAATGTTTAACCTTTGGGCCTGAAAAAAAATGTTATATCAAAAGGATGGTTATTCCCTTGACACCATTATTACTGTATATACTTTTGACTCCTTCAGTAGCAGTGGCGTAGCTAGAATAAACGTCACCCAGGGCAGTCCGCTCAAATGTCACCCCAATGACCCCGATTCACCCTATGCTGAATGGTTAGCTGTAGCTAAATTTTCATACATGCTCTACCTCTACTTTACTCTACTGACCGGTACGTTACTGTTTACATGTATGATCCAAGACAAAATCAAATACAACAAAATAATCAGTTCAAATCAAAAGCTGAAAACATTGCTATTTTTCCTACTCACAAATTTCCTGACAATTTATTAGAAAATTTCTGACGGGGGGACAAAACTGGGGGGTCATATGCCAGCCTGTGAAACCCTGTGTCTCCACCACTGTTTTCAGACTATTTTTGGCACCCTTAGCCTGGTTGAAAAATTTTGTTGGGGGTGACATTGTGTCACCCCTCCTGTGCTGGCACCCAGGGCGGTCCCCCCCCTAGCTACGCCACTGTTCAGTAGTATTAATTACAATAATATATGAACCAAGTACAATGTGATATTTATAAAGATTTATTATTTACCATTTTATGAAGCAATAAATTTGACATCTTTTTATTCAAAAATTTATTAAAAAAATTACAAAATTATCAAAATATGTGAACCAAATACAATTCCATATTTATTATTTACCATTTTATAAACAATTATGAAAACATTGTAGTTTGTTCACATATTTTTATAATCCTGTAAATATAAAATTAAGGTTGTAAATAAGTAATTTAATAAATAAATAGTGCTTAATATCCTTGTTGTCAATTTTAAACAAAAAAGAATAAATCCCCCTTTTATGTTTGAGTTTTATTAAACTTCTAATCATTGCTTTTTAAAACAAACATTACCAAGAGAGTCAAAAGTATATACAGAAATAGCAGTGTTAAAGGAATAACCGTGCTTTTGATACACCATTTTTTTTTGCAGGCACAAGGGTCAAAAAAATGGTAACAAGAAGGATTTTATTCAATTAAAATGATGTTGACTTGACAAAATCTTCTTGCAATTTTTCATTTCATATGCCTAACTATTTTTTTGACTTCTAGGTGCCCTATGGCTTTTAAATTAAAAATTATGGTTTAATACAGAACTTAAGATTATACAGTACAGAAATACATTTAACTGTTAACAGCAGGCACATTGGTTGACGTTTCATTGAAAATCAGTAGATATCATCAATTGATGATTGAAAGATTTTCCAACAATAGATGCACCTTTCATTTAGGAATTTAATCTAAATGATTGTCAACTCTAGGATTTATGAGGCTACGTCATTTCCTGGATTATTTGTCTGCAAATAAAGCAGGAAGAATAAACCAAAGTCATTGCTATGTCTGCATGCATAGTTCCTGAAGAGAAAAAGAGATGAAAACTGTTGACAACTTTGTGCAAAAGAATTTCACAACTACATTGAGCCTGGAATGCTTCTAGGAGTATCATACTGTTAAAAAACATTAAATTTAGTTACTGAAGATTTATTTTATTACTCCTTTTTGTTTTATATCTAAAAGTGTTAAAATATCATTTTTGTATATAATGAAAGGAAAATTAGGCATGAAAAATCTACAGTTTAAAAAAAGTGTTTTTTTTTTTTTTTTTGCCGTTTGGTATGCAAATTTTTCCGCCATTTAAGAGTTAAATACATTATTTGGAAAAAAATATTTAAAAAAGCAGGAAAGGTAATAACTCAACTAGCAAAGGTAAAAATTATTTTTACAAGTTGATTCAAGGGACTAATAAGTTTGGTGAATTAGCTGAAAAAGTGTTGAAATCTTTTATTAACCAGGCTAAAAATTAACACAAAAACAACCAGTGACTTACATATTGACCTGAGCTCAAACCATGAAAATAAGAATCATGGGTAAAAATGATTTCTTTCTCTTTGTAATATTTTGTAATTAAATTTTGGAGGTTTTGCTCCAACTGAATGAAAAAAAAAAAAATAACCTTGAGGAAGTATAACAATTGGTTATTAAAATGGTGGTCTGACCTCTACACTGGGAGATGAAATGTTTTGTTAAATATGAACATGATTATTGTTTCTTTGATCACAAGAAATTAAAGAGGAAAATAAAAATACTTCAGCTGAAAACATACAAAAAGGAAGAATACTGACTCAGAAAAGAGGAAAACTCAAAACCAATTTTTTTTTCTAAGTGAAATAATGCAAAAATCAATTGGATTAAAGTTGTGATGCTTCATTGCAGGGAAAAAGAATTAGTTAACTGTAAAAATACAATTTTTTTTTTTTCATAAATATATAATGTGAAAATACCAAGTTATTAAAATTTCAGCTATTTTTCTAAAAATGGAGTTAATAATCTTAATCCATTAGTTCCTACTATGGGAACCTGTACTAATTATAAAGACAAAATCCTGTCCTAATCAAAAATTAAAATGCAATATTAATTATAGGTTTCTAAAAAAATAATTTTCTTAAATTTAAAACAAAATTCTCCTTTAATTTTTATATGCAATGAAAAATGGCTGGCCACTAGTATCTGAGGCTGCCTGTCTACTAAGTTGACTAGCCAATCCCTGTTGCAAACGTCTGTGGTTTATACTATGTTGAGTGGTTACAGTTTCTGGGAAAGATTGCATTATTTAGTGTGATCAACAGTCTGAACAAGGCCAGTACACTCAAACCCTTGGTCACGATGACTTGTGACTTTGTGCTAGCACAACCATTGAGGGCTTCCAAATGAGTTGTCTACCCAATTTCACTTACAAGGCTTGGGTCAACCTGTGGTGTGGTTTTTCAGGCATGGTCAGAAAGTAAACACATTAACCAACAGCCATGTACACACACACACACACACACATATATAAGACATTTTTTATGCTTATTCGTTCTTTTTATAGATACAAATATTTAAGTAAATGCTCTGTTTTATAATAAGCAGTATAACAACATTTACCAGCCTGAATGTCTGAGAAATTTTCATAGAAAATATGTATCCTCCGACAGGAATTGAACCTGTATCCTATACGGAACCGTCATTTAGCCTGACGTGCCTTAACCGATTGGGCCACAGAGGAACGTTCGGTTAGCAAGGTCGATTTTAATGTTTTTAACCACAATTCTCCATGATTTTCTCTCATTCATTCATATCTGCTCAATGCGTATCCAAATGACGTCATACATTATGAAATAGACAAAGTCCGATAATCATTTTTTAAGATAATTATTTAAGACATGAATATATATGGATGCTGAATGTAACATCAATCAGTTAAGTGATAAACTTTTACTCACATTAATCCTATATATATATATATATATATATATATATATATATATATATATATATATCTCACACACAAAACAAATTACTAACCAAAGTTCAGGTAATTTGAACAGTACATGAAAACTTGACTTTTGCAGAAAAATCTGAGAAAAATTGCTAGGATCATTATATACACACCAAAAGACTATTTCTAAAGCAGATGAAGTAAAATGCAGAGTGCGATGGATAAATTGTCATCTAAATTATGAAAAAAATGAAAATAAAACTGACATCTCATTTTAACAGATATATTTACCAAAATTACACAAAAATATCTTTAAATACTAAATATTAAATTTATTCAGTAAAATTGTCACTGCCTCCAGATGACTTTGGAATCTCCTGCACCTCTTCTAGATGGTCTCCTTGTTTAAGTTGTTTTTTTTTTGTTTTTTTTTTTTTTCAAGCATTTCCCCCAAGCAATGGCAGGAGTGCCACTTGGTTTGCAGGGCGTTACATAGAGTGAAGGTTAGAGAAAAACTGTGTATAGGGGGAATGAAGAAAGGATAAAAGATGAACGGGTTTCAAGACATTAGAAAATAGCGATTGACATTGCATTAAAATTTTTGAAGATTGTAATTATGTGGGAAGGAAGTAAATGGAAGTAAATTCCACAGGTGAAAAGTGTGAGAAAAGAAGCTGTTGGAGTAGAAGTGGTAGTTACATTTAACTATTTAAATGGTAAAAGGGTGAGACCTAGATGCCAG